GATGTGTGGCACACATCCCGATTTATTTTTTTAATTAATTTTTGTACTTGGTTTTATTGAATTTATACAATCTTTTTGGTATAAAAAATATTTCCCCTTTTCTTCACTCTGTGGATTCCTGTGTGATACCTTAAGGAGGATCTCTGCAAGCCTGTATATACACCCTTGTTCTGATTTGTCCTGGTATGGCTCTGTATCATAGTCTTCATTTATCCTTTTATGCAATACAGTTTTAGATCATGTGATGTTTTTATATTTGTTTTAGATTCTCTATTTTCTGCCTGTGGATCGTTTTTTGAATAAAGCATTGTATTTATTTATATTTTACACTGTGGTATGTTTTAAGCTGGTTCTTATCTTGTTATCACCTTACATATTCTGAGTGATGTGGGAGCATTTTTTGTCTAGAACCACACACAGTTTACCTTTCTCTGCGAAGTGCTTATACATTTATTATCAATTTGTATTATGTGCAGCCTGTATGTGTCTGTTTGATTATGTCTGTGAATGTGCAGGCCTATCTGTTAATGTCTGTGTCTATATCTGTATCATAGGTCGATCCTGGTCAGGTGCATGGGGTGCATTGCATCCAGGAACCATGTGAGTTGAAGAAGATGGGGCCTCGGGAGGAGCAAATGCCAACGAGCCGCGATTGCGGGAAAAACTCTCACTTCAATTTTTTAGTACCCACTCCCAGCACTCGGCATCTAAACATCGCTGCTCATTTTACATTCTAAAAGTGATCAGTGATGAAATCATGGATGTTGAGCAGAAGTGGGAACTGCTTAAAGAAGTGCATGCAATGCTGGAGGAAAAACAAAACGTTTTCCTTCTAGCTGCTCTGCTGAAGCCCCAATCAGAAGGGAACCTGGATTCCTGGGGCTGGGTGTTGGAGTGGTCTGACAGGCTGCAGCAGCTGAGCCGCATTAGCAGCACATGGGAAGGGTGGATGAGCAGTAGATGAGCAGTAGATACTGTTGATGGTTATCCTCCAAGGTGAGGCAGTGATCATAAGACGGCCCTCTGTTTTTAGTGTGTGCATCCCTGAGAGATCACACTACCTACATGCCACAATGGCAAGTCTCCTCATTTACTATGCTTTCCCTACAATTGCTGTAAATATTTATTTAACTTATAGTTATATAGAAATAACTGCCCTTCCCATCATGCACGGCCTGCCAGTGGATGCCTCAGCATCCTGGGATACATACTCCACAACCACTTGAGTGTCAAAATGAGTAATTATTATTAAGTTTGTATTTTTCTCATAAAGGCCCACAGCAGGGGAAGACTGGTGTGTGGTGAAGTCAAGAATTGCTATATCTGTGTGCAATAAAACAATGTCTAAATAATGAGTATATAAACATGTGGTATATCAGGCCAGTTTAGCACTACATATAGCACATAAGTCTGCTATATACATGTGCTCTAGGGTCACAGTCAATCTTTAATTCATTATCACCCATTGATAGCCTTCACCATCCATTGCTTTCCAGCAATAGGTTATAGGCAATTTTGCTTTTTTATGTTATGCATAATGTTAATGGACCTTATGCATGAAAAATGTATACTACAGTTCTCACTCTGTTTTATATGTGGCTTTAATGCCGAGAGTGATAGCAAATTATTACATATGCTGATTTTTTTATTAAACAAATTGCATTGCTTGAATGTGACCTTGCTATGCGCCCTTTAGGATGCGTTGTGTGAAATTATTTGATTGCATCATATAGGTGCCGAATTAGGTGTGTAGCTTTCAACATCTGTTAGTGAAATGTGGTTTGCAGTGTGTGACTGTCAGTATGTCTGTCAGTGAGTGTGTTTCAAATCACTGAGAGTGTTTGTCTGTCAGTAAGAGTGTCTGTCAGTATGTGTCTGAGTCTGTAAGCTCGTTTGAGCAGGGTCCTCTTCAACCTATTGTTCCAGTAAGTTTTTTTGTAATTGTCCTATTTAGAGTTACATCCCCCCTCTCAAAATATTGTAAAGCGCTACAGAATCTGTTGGCGCTATATAAATGGCAATAATAATAATAAATCAGTGAAAGTGTGTCTGTCACTTAGAGTGTTTGTTTGTGTCTGTCAGTGAGTGTCTATGTTTCAAATCCGAGTATTTGCTAGTGAATGTGTGTCTTCTAGTTCTAGTGAGTTTGCTTCAAATTAGGGCGTTAGACAGTAAATGTGTATGTCAGCGTGCGTCTGTCTGTGAGTGTTTCTGTCAGTGTGTGTCTGTAAGTGAGGGTGTTTTAAATCAGTGAGAGTGTGTGTCTGATATTGAGAGTGCGTCAGTGTTTCTCTCTGAGAGTGTGCTACTGTCAGTGAGTGTCTCATTATGAAAAGGAATGGGGCTTACAGATGGAGAGGTGGAGTCATCATAGTCTTCACTGAACATTTGCAAAGGGGACAAATTAGGATGACCATGTCCACCTGGGACTCCTAATAAAAATTAGCACCCAGGTGTCTGTGGCTCTAGGATCAGCCTTGTCTGCATCCCTGTGTGTCCTGCTATGTATTCTTTCTCAACAGCACCAAAACTACTAGAATGGTGTGCAGTCATAATGGTGTATAGACTTGTCCTTTTAAATGTGAAAGGTGATTAAAATAGGACTCTTCAATGTTATGTACACCAAAATCAATTTAACTTACTTTATATAGTTGTGAATGCATAGTTAGAATTTTGAATATCATATAAAGCTGATAATTTATTGTCTTTGGTTTTTCACTTGACTTTAGTTTCTAAGTACAGAACGGGTTTGCTATTTTAAGAAAAGGTCAAAATTGTACCTTTAAATAAAAAGTTCATAGCAATGTCAAACTGCTATACTTTTTATGTCAAACTTATCAGATTCATTCTAATTGATTTTCTTAATTTTCATGCTTTATGTAATTTGAAGGTCATGGCATTTGATCATAAGACGATAGATACTACAAGTTCTTATTATTGAAATATAATTATAATCTGAAATATTTCCCCACTGTTACTTTGTAAATTACAAAATTTTAAGTACCAATTAACAAAGAAAGTTTTAAATGTGTGCTTCTTCAAAATTGCTTCTAAAGTAGAAAATGATAAGTTATGGTGTTCACTGACCGCAACTTACATTATGAGTTTATTAGTCAATGGCAATGCTTTTTATATATAATAATTCATTTTAATAATTATCTATCAGTCTGTCTACCTGTCTGCCTAAAAAAATATATATTTCAGACTATGTCAGGTACTAATAAAATGATTGTTTTTACCCATTATATCTGCACATTTACTAACCACATGGCAAGGATTACTGGACTCTACATTTTGGAGTTTTTTTGTGTTGTTTTTTTTTTTATAATTCTTTATTTTTGCAGTGCATGGATTAGTGTACACGCTGGTGGAGACATAACATCAAAAATACAGAGTTATAGTAAAGCTTATCTAGTTATGGCTCTCAATATGACTGCACTTATTTAGTTGGCATACAAGAATAACCCGAGAAGTTTACGAATACAATAAATTGCTTGTCAGGATTGTAACACATTTGTAAAATTAAAATTAATAAAACAGATAAAACAAGATGAACACTGTTCCTGCATATTCCATTAAGCAAGATGTAAATTCATAGCCTGTGCTGCATACAGACAATTTTTGGAGGTTAAAGAATACATAGCGAGTTATATCATGCTAATCTATTCGGACCGGCTCAATCTAAGCACAGTGGTTTCAAATAGTGGGACAGTGCAGGAAAAGGAATAGTATGAGATACAAGGTAAAAATAAAATCTGGCATAAACTGTAGATTATCAGATAGCGTTATGGGACACCCCAACATTACAGTATAAAAACATCCACTTGTGTCATGGGCAGGAGAGGAAGAAAGTAAAAACAAAAACAAAAGAAAAAAAAAGCAACCCCCCCCCCAATAATAATATATTTACACAAGGGCAAGCGTAGAAGCATATATATTTTTTTTATTTAATATTTTTTATTGTAGCATACATATAAGTATACAGAGAAATAAAGCATATTGAGCTACATTTTCAAAGTGCATGCATGAATAGTGGCAGACTCATTTAGAACATTTATGTTTATACATTTATATAGAAGTTCCCATTTGGCTGAGCTCGGCAAAGGCTACTTGCACTTATTAGTATATATCAGCTTTAACTAGTGATCTATAATCGTTGCCTTCTGGGGGGTGTTGGGTTCTCGAGAGAGTGCTTATAAGTACAGTGATAAACAGCCTAGTATTGAAGCTTGCTAGACACCAGCTGCCTGGCAGTTACCGTCAGTGCTCAACTGCAGAAACGTAAATCAAGAAACACACTCAAAAAACTTAAACAATAATGCTATGGCTTAATGGGCAACTGTGTGGATGTGTGCCACGGCTTCCAATAGGGGTAAGGCCATGTCATCTAGCCTAAATACGCAGGGAGAGCATAAAAATAAAAATAAATCACACCTGACAAATAGTTCAGTAGCTAAACTCTCTAAATTGCTGTTTTAAACTAAAGTCTAAGGTTTTCAGCGACCATTCGCTTTAGCGCCTTGCAGTGTTCAAGTGCCTGAAGACATCTGCGTTTGCGCCACCCGATTGGGCTTGGGGTAGAAGGGCTGGATGGTATTAATGTCCCATGCTGGAGCGGAGGATGCCCGTGAGGCTATTGCCACTGACCTCTAGGTGATATCTGGTGCAGGTAAGTCCAGTTCCCTGAAGATGCGTCCGGCTTCCGAGAGGTGTGTTAACTGCAATCTCTTTTCCGCGTGAAATATGGTCAGTTTGCGACCCGGTCTCCAACCGTACCTGACATCCTTCTCTCTTAACAGCTTAGTTACTGGTTGTAGTGAGTGCCTCCAGGTCATTGTCGACCTTGAAAGGTCTGCGAAGAAGGCCAGGTCCGAGCCTTCAAAATGGTAAGTGGATGCAGTTCTTGTCGTGGCTGAGATAAGCTGCTTACATTGGAGCGATTGAAAACACAACAGTAAATCCCTTGGAACCCCAGCTGGAGCTTTAGGTGATTTCGGAACTCAGTACAGGTAGTCCAAGTTTATGGTCTTGGCTTTAGCTGGTGGAAGCATAGAGCTCCACATTCTATGGAGGTAATGAGGTACTTCGTCCTCCCCGATGTTCTCGGGGATGCCACGAACCCGCATATTACGTTGCCACCTAGCATCCTCCAGCACAGCAAGCCGTCCTTCCATAGTATGGTTGGCTTGCTTCAGTGTTTCCACCTCAGGTTGCAGAGCCTCCTGTTTGCTTGTCGTGGCAGTGCCAGCCTCCTCTAGCGCCCGCAAGCGCGCTGTCATGACTCCCATATCTTCCCGCACCAGCGCTATATCAGCTGAGAAGTAGGCCTTCAACTCTGCCACCATGTTTTGAATATCCGCTTTACTGGCGGGAGCATGGTCTGGTTGGGCATCTTTACTCGCCCTCACGGGCTTCGGATCACGGTCACGGAGGGGTGTACTCTTACTGGGCTCCCCTCGATCAGCGTAGTAGCTGGAATCATCGTGATCACTGTCTTCCGAGGCGAGGTCCGAGTCTTCCCGTGCAGGCGCCATCTTGGCAGGCCTCTGCGAAGTTGTAACGCAGAGCAGGGCCCCGATATCCTGAGAGGTGGGAGTTGCTTCATTCGTGCGGAGTTTGGATTTCTTCCCCATAGTATTAATGTGGTTTGTAAGGGGGCTAGAAGCTTTTTAGTGGCAATTAAGCTGCAAAAAGTCAAATCTCACTTGGGAGCTCCTGACATCTGCTTCGTTCAGTGGCTGGCTCCACCCCTCCTCTTTATAGAAGCATATTTTAAAGAATAAACACCAGTCGGAGATCAGACGACATGACAACAGCCATCCTGGGAGTGGATCTCAAGCTGCGATTCCAGCATCTGGATCATCTGATCCCCACCAGCGGCAGGATTGGAGCCTGTGCATGAGAGTTGAGGTAGGCCGCAGCAGCTGTGTATAAATCCAGGGCTCCCTTTCTGCCCCAGGCATGGATGAGGGCCAGCTTCACTATTTAACAGACTCTGGTAGTCATTGGAACAAAATCCAGTGTAAGCAGAGGGTCTAGATGGTGTGCACCTTTTTCAGCGGGTGTTCCTCCACTTCAGTGCTCAATGCTTGGAGGCAGTGCCACGAGGAGCTCACGGCCTGTATGGGAGAGCAGATGAGTGAATATACACTTGCTTATACACTTGCTTATAGACTTCGCCCACAGGAGGCCTGCTCCACTTCCATTGCTCTCAGGAGCGATTTCCCGCTCAGCCAGGATAGCCTTCTCACGCTCTAGGATTTTCTGCCAAAAGCTCTGGAAGATATAGTTCAAGCACTGCCGTGAAGATTCCAGGGAGCAGCATCGAGGCACTTAAATGGGCGCAGATGCTGTGTGTTCCGCATGGAGGCAGTTGCTACCTTGTGGCTTGGTGTACCAGACGTTTCACAGGGTGTCTATGTGTGGCAGAAGCTAGGAGAAGTGCGTATTGCCCCAGAATGTCCAGTGGAGACCAGGATATTGGAGGGGTGGGTAGGATCACTGCTGAACCAAACAGAGGTTTTAAAAGTGAGGAGATCAGCCGCCTCTCCGCAGCTCTTGCTCAGTAGGCCGCAGCAGTGTGGCTCAGGTCTCCAAAGGGTTACAGGCTAGATTCAGGTGTCTGCGTGCGTCTCAAGTCCCCACTTCCAGATAGGGTCCTCTAATAACAAATGGCAGTCGATTAATCAGGGTTGTCACCCCAAAAAGTGAAAAAAAACATGGGAGCTTGAGCCCGACACGTCTGCCCTGCATGGAAGCCAGACTCCACCCCCATGTTGGAGTTTTTATGTTTGTTTTCTTTTTTTATTAATGTTATAATTTTTTGGTAAATTGATGGCAATATTAATAATTGAAAATAAAAGTATTTGGGGTTTATTTGTATGTTGTGTAAGTATGAGACTGGCTTACTCTTTTTACTCTTTAATTTTTTTCTTTCAATGCACAGGATAATTAAGAATATTGTATAATAATATCTAAATAACTAAGATGTATTTCTTTCTTTTCTTTCTTCAGACTGTTATCGATGTTACTATCAGATCTCTCCACATGGAGGCTATTACTGCATCTGTCACTATATTAAATGAAATATAACCTGCAACATCTGGCTCCCACAAGAAAATGTGAATAATTGTCTCTGGTTTTTGTTGCTTTTCAGTACCTACTCTAATTATGATGTAACGAAGGACAGCAGTGTATGGTGGGTTTGGTGATTAACCTCAAGCATATGAGTGATGGTTCTAGTAAAAATGAACAAGACAGATGGAGCTGCTGAATCAATTTATTTTATTGCAAGACTTTAAAATACAGTAATGACCTTGTGGTAGTGAATATACCATATGTATTTTAATCAATTGTCACATCAATGGTTCAAAATATGAATTATGCACAATATTTTGTTAAATATTTTTTTTAGGGAAATTAGCTTTAAGCCAAAATACTAAACTGGCTAAAATACATCAAAGTTAATTTTAAAATATGGAATTTCTATTTTTTTATTTTTTTTAACATAGTATATTAATTTTAAATGATTGAGTTTTTATATTTTATAACATAGCATATTTTGTACATTTAACGAGTAGAAGCTTGAATATATCCAATCAAGAGGAATGTAAATTAGAATTTAAAGCTTCATAATGTAATTAGAAATACAAAGAAGTTTTTAAGGGTTTTGCATAACAGAATAAAGTAAAACATTCATTTTTATGAATATGGTATTTGCAAAGGTGAGCTTGACAAGGTTTCAGAAAATGTTAACACAAATATGCTATTTATTTTAGGGTTCTTTATTATTATATCATGGATTTGAGTTATACCTTTTTGCTGAATGGACATTTTTGAGAGTAGCATTATTACTAAAAGTCTATTGCGAATACAGAATGCATCAATACCTGTCTGAGAGAAAAATACAATCTTGACACATAAAATATAAATACTACTAGTATCTGTAGAGATGTCAAAGAGGAAAAAAAAAATAACGATTCCAGACAAATATGTGTATCATCATTCATGCTTTTTTAAGAACTAATTTAATTGTCATGACTTTTCTCACCAAACTTTATGCTTTCACTTTGTTGTCCAAAGCATTATGTCATATTGCTATGACAGGATATGCTTCAGCTAAGGATAATGAAGTTTAGTGAGACAGAGCATTACTGTTGATTATCTGCAGATGGCAAACAGACTTGATGTATTGCCCATATTTCAACAGCAGGGGAGAGGGGCATTGATTTGAAGTGGTTGTTTTTTGGGGGGCTAGTTTTACTTGCCCCATTATGTATTAACTTTGATTATGCTTGTACTCCGATGGCTTTGATGTATAAACTGTGGAAATGCCCCTGTGGAATTTAGATATTCCTAAATGGCCTTATTACATTCTACAGATGTCTTTCTTTCTCTTCTTATCCTCAGAGACAATATGTCATGAGAGTGATGTATCCTTTAATAGCTGTTCTCATATTAAAGATGTGGATAATGTAACAAAATATGATTACTACACAGGAATTGTGGTTGTATTATGGGTTCCCACTAGTACAATTCAGACAACTGAATCTAACCATTATTAGTCCAATGACAATTCTAGTCTTACTGAGACTAATGTACCTCATCTATGCAGGGTTATGAGCAATAGTCACTAAAGTCAGCAGTCAGATTCTTAGTCTACATCATGCATCAATATAAACTGCCTAATCCTTTTTCTGGAAGACTTTTAGCAATTGATTTAGCAAAACTGACTGGGTGTACATACTCGCACAGTAGCCTTCAGCCAGGGTACCATCCTTGAAGTTCCTGCACATATGTGTCAGCATAATGGAGACATCCTGGGAATCTTGAAGCTACATTACATAGTTACATAGGCTGAAAAGATATGTCAGCCTTCCTACATTGCTGGACTATATGTTATTACCACATACATTTGATTATATGGCAGGATTTATGGTGTTTGGATAAAGGGATGTGTTTTGCTGTTGTTTTTGTTGTTGTTGTTGTACCCTGTGATGTTATAAAACAAACTATAGAGTTTCCATGATCACATTTCCTTTCACTGTTTATGAAATGTAACTAACAGTGAGTTGTCACTTAATTTCTCTGCTGCAATTTTTTTTTTTTTACTTGGTTAATTATAAAAGGAGTAACAACAAGACCACATGTTGAACAGATGAACAGATCTCTATGCAGAAAATATTGGTGTCTAGTAAAAAATAAATTGACCTGGCATCATATATAACCTACAATGTTCTTATGAACATTATTTATCTCATAAATAGAAAAACACATGAAATATGTCAGGACCTAGGATTTTTGAAGGAAATAATTAGAACACAGCTTCATTATATGGTAGAATTTTAAACACAACAAAAATACATTTGTATGAGTTCTTTTATTTTACAAATAAGTCAAATAGTGTTAATAAGATAAATAAAAATATTTTTTTCGATAACTTTGCAAACTTTTTCTAAATAAAATTTTGACTTTTATAAAGATTTGAGACAAATATAGATTATGTTAAAACATGCTGCTTTGTTATTTGTGCCAAGACTTTATATTATGCATATAATTGAATATTTTTGTAATGTAATCCCAATGTTATACTAAGGTTATTGTCTCAGTACCCATGATAAAATGCTGTTTATCAGCATAAAACATGTCAATACTTGTTTGTAGTATTGCAGCATCCTTACACATTGATGCAGAATTCACAAGGGGTTTGTTTACAGATTTTTTTTTAGTCTGCTAGTTTTTTTTAATGAAAATAGTAATACATCATGCAGTTTACATGTAAGTTCAAGTATGTATATGACCAGCATATAGAAGTGGACTTGTGCAAGATGGAATGTGTGGAGGTACGGAGTGGAATATTTGAGCGATGATCATCAAGACACTCATAGAGTAAAATGGACTAATATAGTCTTATGTGAATGATGGAACCATTTCATAGTGCTGTTTGAAGCACCTTATTTTTTGTTTTTTAACATGTTTGAAGATTCAGTGGTAATAAATGTATTATGATTTATTTGTAATACACTACTGCAGTTCCACCTTGTGCTTGTCTTTCAGACATGATATTCTACAAGTGATCTAAAAAGTGATTGTTTTCTTCACAGTATACCACACTATTTCAAAAAGCTGCTAAATTCAGAGTGGTGGAAAAAATGAAGTAAAACAAAATACAAATTCAAAAGTGGAGGAAACATAAATTGGATGCATTAGAAAAAAATGTCTATATTAAAACAATGACAACATAAGTAACAAATATAAATACAACAAAACAAAAACACAGATTTAACAAACCTGCTAAATATTCATAGTAAATTTGATGTAAAAGTGTCAGTGACAACTTGATAAATCTCATGACAGCCAGTAAGAAAACCATCTTCCTATAAGGAGCTGTCAGCACTTCACAGCAGGACATTTAAATCTAGCTGCAAAACATAATTATAAGTCAATGCTTGTTTCATGCTAAGTACCATCAAACCTTTGCATAATTGCCCAGATAATGGCACAGGATATCCTTCACTCACTGTCGGATTTGAGA